ATACATCCCAAAAATCATTCGAAAGAATACAAATTTAGTTATGTATTAATTTGTTGATGACAAAATGTTAGTGCCAATGTAAACAATATTCAAAGATCTTATTATAACATTAATAAGATTACCTTTACTAATAAGTTTGTTAAAAGGTTCGATGAGTTTACACGGATCACATAGTGATTTTCGCGCTTTTTATAGTATGATATTACCGTTAAATTTAGGATGGGAAATACCGTTTTTAATAAGTTTTCTACAGGTACAGCCAAATTTACCAATTGAATCTTTGTATCTATGAAAGCATTTAGTAAATGTTTTAAGTAATTTATGGTAGCGAAATCCCTGACTTAATATTTTGCCAGTGATGCATTGATTACGTTCGTTAAAATCTATGATATCACTACACACATGGACATAACGAACGAGTTGGGCAAAATAAATGAGTTTATATACTATATGAGTTGCCTTCTTGATTTTTTTCCCTAATAATTCATGTTTATGACTCTGCCTCCATGTATATCTTATACTGTAAACATGAATATATTTTAACGCTGGGGTTATATTCACTCATTTCAAAATCACCAAAAGTGCCAGAAAAAATATCCTCCACACGATTAACCGTTTTCATACAGCATTAACAGGGAGATGCAGTTCAGAGCACTCGACTTTGAGATGCCGTTTATTGTTGGTAATAACAAAGAAAATTCACCATATTCAATAGGTTTTAAGCAATAATTTCATTAGCCCTTCGCAAAATCACCTTCAGTCAGCAGCATTTAAACTGTTTCAATAAGATTCTTCCTACTCTGACAAGAGTGATGCTAACTGAATCAACTTGTTAGTTCTGTATTTGTAGATCAAATTAAAATGCAATTTTTATTGCATTAGATGCACATTTCTTAATTGACCTTCGCCAGAAATACGTTAGTACAGCCAGTATATGATAAACACATGAAGGGAATATAAGTTCATGCTGTATTCGTACTTGTTGGCAAAGTCCACACAAGGCAAGCTTTTGAAAGCAAAAATGGGTAATGCTGGCGATTAGTTTCTGTAAACCACCTTATTTTCTCTTATACTTTATTTTGCGTTTCGCCCTTTTTAGCCCACTTCGCGGCAATTAAGGTTTGCAATTTTCAAATTTTCTTGCTTGAGTTGAATAAGGAAAGATCCAAGTGTTCTATATTCGCTACGATTTACATTTTTTTTTACTAGGAAAAGTCACGAAAATAAATCGCTCGCGAAAATTAGTTTGTTTACATTATTCATTTTATGGGTGATAACACTGATATATGATACTGTACTCTGTTGACACAAATGGTCGTGCTCCTTTTCGATTTCAATTTTTAACTCTTTTTTTATCTGTTCCAAATTGATTCTAAAGTTTAGAAAATCTGTAAACTACTGTCGCCTCTATTTTAGAATTAACTATGGAATCTACAGAAAGATAATTAGAGTAAATCACTATATATAGAAAATCATCACCATAAGTGATTTTTAAACAGAACGATATCGACTGAAAGACAGACACCACTTAAATGGATATTTTCCACACCCTTTTCATATTATTAAAAGGACCTTTGTTGGTCAATTGTTTGAAAGTTGCAAAATACGTTCTACCAAAGACATATAAATTATATGTCTCTTCTTCTACATAATATGTTTAATTTTTGCAAATACATTTCTAAAACTACTCAAACAAAGTTACAGAGTTATGAGGAAGAGCGAAAAATATCGACACCATGCAAGTTTTACGGTCAACATCACGAATTGGTTGCCCTTGGATGAAGGTGTTAGGGTGATTAACACACTCGATGAAAAAAATATCACCCGCGACTTCGTCTTGGGTGATATTTTTTTCCCCTCGTGTGTTAATCTACCCTAACACCTTCATCCAAGGGCAGTATGTTTATAATAACATGTTCTCTGATGTACTCTTTAACCGAATATCAAAAAAGAATTCACAGTTTCATTAAAAAAATGAATAAAAAGGGCCTTCAAAATTAGGAAAGCATATCAAACTTGATACTTAATCGCCCACAATCAATGCACCTCTCTGTGTACTGACTAAGGTGGCCAGAAATCACTTAAACATCATAAAATAACTAACACGCTACTTTGCAGAAAAAAATAAGCATGCACATTATTTAGCAATATCATTCAAAAAGTAGGCAGACATATATATATATTATATTTTGTGAAAAAAAACCCAATAGAAAGTGAGTTAAAACATTGTCAGTAGTCTAGCGGCTTTCATCCATCTTAAAGGACTTTTCAAGACTAAGACGTTGTTGGTTGTAACGTTGGTCCATAAAGTTGTTGTACCTGATGATAAACTTCGGACACTGAGACTGGAAGAACTTAAAATATACCTGACTCAACAGTGTTACCCAAGCAACAAGTTATAATTGATGATGGTATAAAAAGGCAAAACATTTGTCCATTCATGAACTTAGAACCCCGAAGGAAAAACAAACGGAAAATAAAATGATTGCCTTTGTATGCACACACGACCTCAAATTACCGAACGAATTTACTTTTATGCGATCAAATCTCCCGTCACTACGCCAAAGCGAAAGAATGAAACAGCTAGCTCCAAAGGAAATCTTAATATACAATCACCGGCAACCTAAATATCTAAAAAAAAAACACTAGACACGACCCAAATTCAACTCAATTCAGGATAGATATTCAATAAAAGAGTGTGGGGATACTAGATGTGATATATGCTCAAAAGAATACAATTATTTAGAGACCAGCAATATGAAACGTTTCCTAAATGGAAAAACCTTCTATATAATAGCAAATATAACATGCAAGTTATCCAATTTGATTTATTGCATAACTTGTGTGAATTGCCAAAAATTATATATAGGGCAAACTGGTAACACTCTTTATGAACGGGTACGTATCCACAAAGAACAAATCAAACATCCACATTAACGGAACTTTCCATTAAGTGAACATTTGGATCGATGTGGAGAAGGAAAATTTAAAGCAATACCTTTCTATAAATGCAATAAAACAGACGATGCATTCCGGGAAGTGATGGAAGAATATTGTATTCAAACATTTAATCCGACTTTAAATGCTAAACAAAAAGCAAAGTGTCCACAATGACATAACGCCATAAAACCTCCTCAACAACTTTAACGGCCAACTTTATCAACAACAACGTCTTATTCTTGCGAAATTCGCACCCAATTCGTTAAAATAGCTATCAAATTTGACTGGATGGCAATTTACCAAGTTTCATAATTGGGATTTTCCCAATTGATTGCAATGAGAGGACTAAACAATGCTATTTTTTGTATGATAAATCAATGGTAAAATATCAAGATTTTCCAAACAGTAGGTTACGTTTGTTTAAAATTTTGAAAATACAATAAGTTGTTACATTGTTGAATTAAATATTTCAATTCATACAATTAACTGAATAGGTTTGTTCAGAAATATATGTTTTCCTTTGCATATACAAATAAAATAAATTTGAAACTGTATATTTAACAATCTTAAAAGCATTTCTCTTTCAAAATTTTTCTTAAACAAGCAAATAAATGTCATAATTGTTGATTGCACAAACTCAAGATTAAAAATAGTTCGCGCAAATGTAATATATGAACACTAGCAATGTACTCCTTGAGTGCAAGACTGAATAGTTTTATCACAATTCAACAAAAGAGTAAAACACTTCATGTTTTGGGATTTTCTTATCAGATTGAGATGTTTTTACAACTAAAATATATGTTAATAATTTTTCTTCTTCATCAACAGGACCAAATGGCAGTGTATGGTATTGGTGAGTGATATATAAGTATACCGACTATCCCGTTGTTGAAGTTGCATTGTATGTTTTGTTAAGCACCGCTTATTTCGCAACAATGCATTTTGTTTTCATATAAACAATTCAATATATTTTTTATTTAGACTTTATATCTGAATTCTTCTTCCTTACATTTGATTGAAGATTAACATATTTTCATTGTCTCAATTGTTTGTGTTTTTTTCTAGTAAAAATTTAGACATCATTTTGTTGCAAACTTTTTTGTTAATGAACTACATATTTAATTTTTATCTCACGGCTAAATTGAAAAAAATTGCAATGACATATATCTCGACTGACTTATCTGTTATTAGAGTTTTGCGTCCTAAATGCTCTTTACCTTCGTACCTTATGTGTCCTTTTTATTTTTATTTTTTTATTGGGCGTCACTGATAAGTAGACGAAACAAACGTTTGTCGTACAAAATTATAATCCTGGTATATATGATTAGTTTATTTATCTAGAAAATGCAGAAAATCTATTGATTAAGTTTCATGATCGTATTACTGTGAAGATTGTCGACTTCGGTCGAATTAAAGTTTAAAGCGTAATTACAAATAAAATTGACCAATAAGATAACGTGATGATAAATACAATTATTTTAAACAGGTACAACACGTTAATGTTTTTGAATACATTCTGTTAATTTCATAATTTTAATTCCTATTGTATCCGGTTCCGACCTCGCAACTGATCAACTTGAAGGTCTGTCATACCGATTAGAAATGTGTATAAGACATTTTTTAACCCACAGCTTTCTATTTAAATGTTTCTGTACCAAGTCGACCATAATCCCACATATTTTGTTTGTACAGAAGGAAAAGGTCGGGAGAGGGAGGATTTAACGTTCAAAATAGCTACGAAGAGATAAAAACTCTATTAAAAACTCAGAAAAACAAATACCTCAATATAAGTTAGCTCGGAAATATATCACGATAATATATTGACGACCTCACTTGAAATCATAAGCTTAAAAAGTTACATGAAGATGTTGCAGATTCAAACAAAGAAAGAAGTTAAAATCACGCAACGTTCCCTCTCTAAAATAACAGCAACAAGAACGAACACAATTTGACACATAGTAAATTATTCCACAACATTTCTTACAGGAAAACAATACATTGGATGTTTTGTTGACCAACCAGAAAGGACAATGCCATACGAAAGACTTGACTCAAGCAGTATGACTAATGATAAATGTGTATCGCATTGCTGTTCATTTCTGGATAACGCTACTTATATTGGAACTGAGGTAAATGTTTAATGTATAAATTGTTTTGTGCATAAATCAGGCCGTTAGTTTTCTCGTTTAAGCTGTTTTTAAATTTGTCATAGTTTTGCTCATTGTTGAACGCCGTACAGTGACCTATAGTTGTTAACATCTACTTCATTTGGTATCTAGAGGAGATTTGTTTCATTTGGCAATCATACCTCTTCTTATTTTTAAAATTAGTTTTTGAGGGAACAATTCGAATAAATTCCAGTGCGATATATTTTGAGAGTAAGTGCCCTTTCGTTTTATGGACACGAAACTGCAAAAATGGTTATATTTACAGCGATTATGTCTAATATATGGACTTTACATTTCTAAAGAATTTCAGAAACTACCGAAGCAACACCCGCCATGCCAATATACACTTAGTTAAAATGCCCCAACAGGGAAAGGGACACTTTCGGTAAATTTATAAATTAATCGACTAAATTGATATCTGAAGATCTAAGACTGCAAAAATATATTACGCATTCGATAATACAACTCAGAAGAGCCAAACAAATCAAGGAATTGGAACTATTCTTGAGTAAGGTCTTTAGCTTCCTAATTCATTAATTGTTCACCGAGACGTTTTACCAGTAGAATATATATCATAATTTCAAAGCTGCATAAATTTAACGTAGTATATCATTACATTTGACCAGGTTTTAAAATAAATCAACATAAACATATATTACAGGCTTGGAACGTGTGCTTTTGTAGTAACGTATTGAGCATAGATAATTTTGTAACAAGAGACCCAGCTTCAGGAATAGACTGTGATATGCCATGTTCTGGAAATCAAAATGAAATGTGTGGAGGTTCTTGGAGTTTGAGTGTATATAGGATAGGTGAGATATAATAACTCATCAAAGATACCAGGCAATAATTTATAACGCCAGACACGCATTTAGTCTTCATAAGACAGTTTATCAGTGGCGCTCGAAATAAAACAGTCAGAAGATCAAATCGAATACAATGTTGTTGCCTTAAAATTCGAAAATTCCGAAAAGCTGTGAAAAATATCATAGCTAAAGCAAGCAAACCGAAGAGTTTCGAATAATACAACATTTTATAAACCGTAAATTCAAAGAAAATAGACATATAAATGCTTGTTATCTTTGAAATTAGACATTTATTTTCAAACCGGATAGGATATGATTTGTTTCCACAATACCAAAACTTAATGAAGAGATGTAAAATATATGTGAAGGGCCTTACTTTATTTATAGGCTGCCTACACCACACAAATATAGATAAATATGATAGAGAAATTTCTTCTAAATTTACTGACATTAATAACTTGGCAAATACCCTTTGTAAGCATGATATAATTTTTTAATTTCACGGAATGCTTATTGTATCCATCTTGACATCAGAATTTTTATTGTAATCAGGTATCCTATGGAGTCTCTGCTTGATTGTATATTTTTTGTATATGTAATGGTATTCAGCTGTTCCTCGCTGTCCAACAACCCTGTTTCTAAACGAAAATGTAAAAAGCCTTGTTGCAAATTTGTATTACATGACATAATGGATTTTTTGTGTGAAAAATCAAATGACACAACCAATGACAAAGTCAGACCACAATTGTGATTTTATCAGATCACAATTGTGACTTTATCAGGTCAACACAACTAACCGTATGACAAACTCAAATGACACAAAATCCTAGCACAAAATGTGATTGTAAGATGAAGAATAGCAATAAAATTACCTACAACGTACGTGTCTATATGCAGGGGGTTCCTCTTGAAATTTCTGTTGGATATAATTACTTAGACCTAATAGTGACTTCAGGATAAAGAACAACAATAGAATTTGCATTCCTTTGTTATGTGTCACTCAATACCCTGTATATCATTAGATTGCGTTATAGCATATCGTATTGTCTCTTGTATATTTACTCCATAACATTTTGTTTTTTAATACATGTATAAGTCGATCATGATTTTCTGTCCATGTTTTTTTAGTTAATTTATGATGAAAAAAGACAAAAAATCTAGAGGTCTTCGGAAGTCGCGTTATTTTTAGACATTGTATTTCCCATCTGCCTTGGTATTTGCTAGAAAATACCCCGGCACATGGAATTCACTAATGGCCGATACACCGACAGAGAAAAGAAAATCCCAGTATATAGAAAATTGGTGAAATATACCATTTCTCTCATCCAATCAAAATACAGGTGGAATTAATGTGTTAACTACATGAATGCATAACTTATTTCATGTTAAAATTAAAAGGTTTATGTTGGGTTTGATTTTGCCTGGTTTAATATCAAATGTCTTTACTTTGTAGAATGTTCAACTGATACAACGGTAAAAACTATTACACAAACCACAAGCGGTATATCTACATTGACATCAAAAGTGACACCTGAATCTACTAAAGTAGACAATTCCCGATCAACTGACACACAGTTTACCATCAATACACCAACCACAAGCGACGTACCAACAAACGAGCTGACGACTGAAGCACCTATAGAAGCTAACTCACCTTCAACTGATACAACGGTGACAACAAATACACCAACCACAAGCGGCACATCTACAATGACATCAAAAGTTACAACTGAATCAACTGAAGAAAATATTTCTCCATCAACGGAAACGACAACTAATGCACCAACCACAAGCGATAGTTCTACATCAACAAAAGAACTGACAACTGTAGAAACTATAGCAGCTAACTCGCCATCAACTGCCACGCAGGTGATAACTAATACACCAACCACAAGCGATATATCAACATCAACAACACAACTGACAACTGAAGCAACTATGACAGCTACCTCACCATCGACTGACACAACGGTGACAACCAATAGACAAACCACAAGCGACATATCAACATCAACAACAGAACTGAAAACTGAAGCAACTATGGCAGGAACCTCACCATCAACTGACACAACGGTGACAACCAATAGACAAACCCCAAGCGACATATCAACATCAACAACACAACTGACAACTGAAGCAACTATGGCAGTTACCTCACCATCAACTGACACAACGGTGATAACCAATAAACAAACCACAAGCGACATAATAACATCAACAACAGAACTGACAACTGAAGCAACTACGGCAGCTACCTCACCATCAACTGATACAACGGTGACAACTAATACACCCACAACAACCGACGTACCAACAAAAGAGCTGACGACTGAAGCAACTATAGAAGCTAACTCACCTTCTACTGATACAACGGTGACAATTAATACACCAACCACAAGCGGCAGATCAACAATGACATCAAAAGTGACAACTGAATCAACTGAAGCAAATAATTCTGCATCAACAGAAACGACAACTAATACACCAACCACAAGCGACAGTTCAACTTCAACAAAAGAACTGACAACTGTAGAAACTATGGCAGCTAACTCGCCATCAACTGCCACGCAGGTGATAACTAATACACCAACCACAAGCGACATATCAACATCAACAACACAACTGACAACTGAAGCAACTATGGCAGCTACCTCACCATCAACTGACACAACGGTGACAACCAATAGACAAACCACAAGCGACATATCAACATCAACAACAGAACTGACAACTGAAGCAACTATGTCAGCTACCCCACCATCAACTGACACAACGGTGACAACCAAAAGACAAACCACAAGCGACATATTAACATCAACAACACAACTGACAGCTGAAGCAACTATGGCAGCTACATCACCATCAAATGATACAACGGTGACAGCTGATACACCTACAACAAGCGACGTACCAACAAAAGAGCTGACGACTGAAGCAACTATAGAAGCTAACTCACCTTCTACTGATACAACGGTGACAACTAATACACCAACCACAAGCGGCACATCAACAATGACATCAAAAGTGACAACTGAATCAACTGAAGCAAATTATTCTCCGTCAACGGAAACGACAACTAATACACCATCCACAAGCGACAGTTCAACATCAACAAAAGAATTGCCAACTGTTAAACCTATAGCAGCTATCTCGCCATCAACTGCCACGCAGGTGATAACTAATACACCAACCACAAGTGTCATATCAACATCAACAACACAACTGACAACTGAAGCAACTATAAAAGCTAAATCACCTTCTACTGATACAACGGTGACAACTAATACACCAACCACAAGCGGCACATCTACAATGACATCAAAAGTGACAACTGAATCAACTGAAGCAAATAATTCTCCATCAACGGAAACGAAAACTAATACACCAACCACAAGCGACAGTTCAACATCAACAAAAGAACTGACAGCTGTAGAAACTATAGCAGCTAATTCGCCATCAACTGCCACGCAGGTGATAACTAATAAACCAACCACAAGCGACATATCAACATCAACAACACAACTGACAACTGAAGCAACTATGGCAGCTACCTCACCATCAACTGACACAACGGTGACAACCAATAGACAAACCACAAGCGACATATCAACATCAACAACAGAACTGACAACTGAAGCAACTATGGCAGTTACCTCACCTTCAACTGACACAACGGTGACAACCAATAGACAAACCACAAGCGACATATCAACATCAACAACACAACTGACAACTGAAGCAACTTTGGCAGCTACATCACCATCAACAGATACAACGGTGACAGCTAATACACCCACAACAAGTGACATATCAACATTACCAACTGAACTGACAACTAAAACAACTATGACAGCTAACTTACTATCAACCGGCACAAAGGTGAAAACTAATACACCAACCACAAACGGCATATCAACATCAAGAACCGAACTGACAAATGAAGCAACTATGGCAGCTAACTTACAACCAACTGACACAGCATTGACAACCAATACACCAGCCACAAACGACATATCTCCAACGACCTTAAAAAAGACACCTAAATCAACTGAAGGAGCATTTTCAACTTTAACTGACACAACGGTGACAACTATTACACCAACCACAAGCAGTATATCTACATTGACATCAAAAGTGACAACTGAATCAACTAAAGCATATAATTCCCCATCAACGGAAACGACAACTAATAAACCAATTACAAGCGACAGTTCAAAATCAACAAAAGAACTAACAACTGAAGAAACAATAACAGCTAACTCACCATCAACTGCCACACAGGTATTAAATAATGCACCAACCACAAGCGACATATCAACATCAACAACAGAACTGACAACTAAAGAAACTATGGCAGCTACCTCACTATCAACTGACATAACGGTGACAACCAATAGACCAACCAAAAGTGACGTATCAACATCAACAACAGAACTGACAACTGAAGCAACTATGGCAGGTTCCTCACCATCAACTGATACAAAACTGACAACTAAAACAACTATGGTAGCTAACTTATCATCAACCGGCACAACGGTGAAAACTAATACACAAACCACAAATGATATATCAACATGTTCAACAGAACTGACAACAGAAGCAACTATGGCAGCTATCTCACCATCAACTGACTCAACGTTGAGAACCAATACTCCAACCACAAACGACATATCTACAATAACCTTAAAAACGACAACTGAATCAACTGTAGGAGCATTTTCAACTTTAACTGACACAACGGTGACAAATAAAACACCAACAACAAGCAAGATATATACAATAACGTCAGACGTGACAACTGTTTCAACTGTAGCCACTAACTCACCATCAGCTACATACATACAAGAATTTACCGATAATGCAACATTTGGAAGTATCAACTGCATGTGCCCCTGTGCAAATCATTTGCCTTCAAATAGCACTCTCTGGACGGCAGAAAAACTTGTTAAAAGACTGATATTGTTAAAGAGTACAATTTCTGTAAATAAGAAAGAAACTAACATGTACAAAGGAACTAAAAGGTCTGCATATGATCCCCGGAAGTCTTCAAGAAATCTTGGCCTATGTGGCGTCATTGTATTGGTACTCCCTGTTATATTTGTTGTAGTTATTGATATTCAACGGATTTTAAAATAATTTGCACAGTTTAATAACTAAACTACAAAAATGAAAAGTAAAAAAAAAAAAAACATTATTTAATTTATGTACAACTATGTCAATAAAAAAATGAAATCAACACGCTAAATAATTTCACTGCGTCCGAAGCGCTTTTCTGGATTTACCTTCATCGGGAACGCGCAAAGCCAAATATTTGAAAGCCTAGAATGTATAAGAACCGAAACAGTTGAAGAGCTATATGACAAAAAAAAAAAACCTCAAAAATAGCCAAATCCATCTAATGTCAACTTTGCCTGAGGGAGTTGAAACCTTAGTTTCTTTATAATTTCAAAATTTATAAACGGACAATCTTAGAAAGGTTTGTTATAAATCATGTCAGTACCGAAGTACTGTCTACTGAACAAATGATACCCTCGGGGATTGATAGTGCACCTGCAGAGGTATCGACCCAGTGCTGTAAAAAATGAAAACAACACGTTAAATAATTTCATGCGACGGAAGCGCCTTTATGGATTTACCTTCATCAGGAACGCTCCGCGCAAAGCCGAATCTTTGAAGACGAGAATGTTTAAGAAGCGAAATAGTTGAAGAGCTATACGACAAAAAAAAAAAAAAAAAACACATAAAAAATATACATATTAATATTGATAACTTTTTGGCTTGACAAATAAAAATGTAGATTGTACTGATAAGTTCAGTCGTTGTTTATATTTATTTACTGAAAACTTAATTTATAAGTTTGTATTATCTTACAGAAACATAGATTCTTAACTCGTGTTATGAGCATTACAAAATTGCAAAGATCCTAAGCCGGGGTTCAAGCTTCTTCAGATAATATTCACATTTAAAATATTTATTATTCTTGGGCCCTATATGATTTCAACTTTCTTATGCATAAGTTTTGAATTCAAAACGATTGATTTTAATCGCGCTTATGACCAGTTTAAACTGAAGAAATGCGTATTCGTCGTGTTTAACCGTGCGTTCAAAGTTAAATGTGAGAAAACAGAGAATAGTATGTCCGAAATCGAGAATCAGAAAATATCAATATTTTCGCCTCAAACTTTTAAGAAAGTACGTCTTTGATATAATATACAAATACTCTTCCAATAATGAATTTAATTCTCAAATTATAAACCTCATAGCAGTGTACTACTTATTTTTTTTTAACTAGAAATTCACGTATGAATAAATTGTTCAAATACTTATAAAGTTTTTCATTAAATTTTCATTAACAAGCAAACATATTCGATATTGTCCTTTAAACGTTCGATATTTTTTGTTATTTTACTTTTTAAGTAAACCACTGTACAATTAAAATGAAAATAGCCGTTAATTTACGAAAAGATACTGTGCACTGAATCACTGAATTGTTGGACAGTATCGCAGTTTATAACTACTACCAACACCCAACCTCTCCAGGGATAACTTACAAACCGCAAGATAGAAAATGTTTTAAATAAATATCAACGTTATAACGAATAGTCGTAAATAAATGAACAATCACACACACATACACACATTCTTGTACTTCAATTTACATAGCATACATCAACTTGTTTATTGCAAAGCAAAAAATTATATCTTCATAAAGATCTGAAGATATTCATAGTAATTTCTTTTTCTTTTATATCATGTTTATAGCGTGTATGGTTTGAATCAAAAGTAACTGTTAATAATCAGTAAAAAATCAAATCTACGGGGCCCGATATTTTATGGGTATATATTCACTTGTCTTTATATATGGTAAATCTTGTGGCAGTGACATTGGATTTGTGTTAAATAATCAACCGTAATTCTAATCTAATAAAAATATAATTTTTCTTTCCCGTTTTTCGTTGTCAAATAATATATTTAGCTATCTACATACGTTTCCCATGAAAAAAAAAAAATAAAAAAAAATAAGCAAAACAAAACATGTATTTATAAATATACAAAATTAACGAACTCCGAGTTAAATCTGAAAGAGAAACGTCCACAAAACCCGACAAAATCAAACGCGTAACTGTATCAACCATTTGTATGAAAAACAAATGTAATATTCTTGACTTGGTACAGCCATTTTCCCAAGAAAATGGTGGGTTAAACCTGGTACTTTAGGTAGCCCAACCTCCCATTTGGATGACAGTTGATTACAGTTCCGTTATATTGACAAAATTTAGTGAGCAACCGAAAAAGACATAATTGGTCAACGTGACAATAACTGAGATCCAGCAGTCAAAACTGTATATAACATACATCACAGACATACAAACACACCCGACTGAAAAATTCAAACAAACACACAAATAAGTCGGAAAAAGACGCCACCAAAAAAGTTGGTGTTGCTAAAAGTGCATACAATATAGTAAAAATAATGAAATATGATCTCCAGATAATGTACAAATTAAGTAAAACAATAAATACAAGGTATACAAAGATGGAGATACTCTTAATTGTTATTCGAAACATAAAGGTTTTTCAACCCCCAGGTAAAAATTTGCCGAACATTTTGTCTTGCAAAGCTCTTCAACATCGTCTTTGATTTGGTCTACCAACATTTCAATTCGAGCGCCACTGATGAGTCTTGTGCGCGTCTGGTATACGAAATTATAAGCCTGGTATACTTGGTGAATCTTTATTAAATAATAATGGACGAATTTGCTGCATTTCATGTAAGATTTTGTTTTGTTCTTAATGTCTTTACCACCCATTATAAAAATAATACATTTACGTTTGAGTTAATTTGATTTGACAATTCGTATCAATTTATTTTTTAAGTACAAAATAGCCCAAAGTCAAATGGACGTTAAAATGTTGAGCGTTTCATTTTGAAGGTAAGTTGCTGCTGTTGACCTTAAATGTGTAATCACTAGTAATCAACGACTAATTTCGATGTACGAAATGGTGGTCATATAGAAATAAGGATATTTTAAATTGTATATCCACCGCTGCTGAGGAACTTACCGTCCTTAAGCAAAATAGAAGACAATCATTCGGTACAAGTTAAAGATTCCTGTGCATTACAAAGATAACCTTAGAGTTGAAAACAGTTTTTTTTCAATGGGAAATTTCTTCACCATCAATATCAAATAAGTCTGGTGAAGAGGAACCGTGAGGATCCTGTACCGGAAAACAACATTGAATAAGTATTTAAATCTACATGATGTCAGTGTCAAAGCTAAATAATAAGACTCAGTGGTAGAAATACATAATTTCAACGAAACGAAATTAAATTGATGACGGATTGATTGATGTCTCATTAGCAACCATACTACATCTCCTTTTTTTTTTATATCATAATGGTATTGAAAATATTTGTGTGAGACGGGCAAACATTGCCGGTAAAAATACCACAATATGAAGTATTTGAATCTTTTACTGGAAATTTTAACAAAGGGACTAATCATTACAAATTTCAAAACCAGCATATAATGGTTGATTACTTATCTTGTTGAAACTGATAATGAGGATATTAAATATTTCAATACAAAGACAACAAGACAACAATTGGCAGTTTTCACACCTTGCTATTTACTTTTTATTGAAACGCAGTATGCCTGTGTTTAGAAGCCGACAAATTGGTGTTGTTTAAAAATCAATGGTTATATAGAAAAACTATCTATAGTAAATTTTAAAATGTTATTAATTCACAAGGTAGAAAAATATTATTGCTTGATTAAAATAAATATGAAATGTACAACTTAATTATTTAAACCCATTGAGAAAATTCTTGTTAATTTTGTCTTAATTGATAAACCAATAATCATTTCTTTTCAATTTATTTTAATACTATATACGTTCCTACTCTTAAATACAAAGAGAAACAGATACAGACATGTCTTATTTGATATTGTTGCAATACTTTTATGTTTATTTTATATAACCACCTATTGTTATAATTATTCATTTCAAATTCACTGTTTACAGGATAGTGTAATTATCTATTTACGGAAAATCAACTAGAGGTGTTTGATATACGATGGACATATATTTGTTTGTGTTTGCTTTTTAAAACCCAGAATAAAATGCATGTTTGTTGTATCGGTAAGTGACTTTATATCATTAAGGATTGGTTTGCTTCTTTTTTTGCAACTTTAGCTAACGTTTCTCATTTTATCAACTGGCCTATTGAACACACCAAGGTACATTTTAAGGCAAATATTATAAAATTTGAAAAGTGTTGTTATTCATGCCATGAACCAAAACGTTTAATGTAAGTTATCGCCATATATTTTATTTCGAAATAAGCTTTTTGCTGTTAATAGCATCAGAGTTTTTTTTCAAGAATATCGTATTATTAAAACAGCTTGATTCCTTGAAATAAATAGATACATTAATAAATTATAATTTTGGTAACTTTAAAACCTACGCTTTTTTACGCGAGTGTGAAAGTTCAAAGTAAGAAAAAAAAAAACCAATCGATTGTCTCTAAATATTTTATCTTAAGTTTAACTATATGAAAACAAGATACATGGTACATTGCTTACTTTCTACAAATCAATTTAAAATCTTGTATTGACACTTGACATTGCTGTAGTCACCTAATACTTGTAACATTATTACTCCCGATTTTTCTGAAGTTAAACATAGTATATAGCATATTAGTCCTAACATTCATTCATGCATCTATTAACTTCATATCCATTTAATATAAAAATAAGAAGGTGTGGTATAATTTTCAATGAGACAATCTCCACCAGAGACCAAATGACATAGAAGTTAACAACTATAGGTCACCGAACGGCCTTCAACAATGAGCAAAAACCATACCGCATAGTCAGCTATAAAAGTCCCCGAAATGACAAATGTAAAACAATTCAAACGAGAAAACAATGAACGAAATACAAATATGATATATAGCAACAAACGACAACCACTGAATTACAGACTCCATTGTTCATTATCAAATGCTTTAAATGTTATCCAACCGATCAAAAGATCATTTTCAAATCATTGTATTTTTACTTCTTTGGATAACTTTTATTTACAACGCGAAAATAAACAGAGTAAGATTTGGATGTGTTGTTATCTCCCATGTTTAACATGATTAACTTGTTTAGGGATACTTCTTTTACAATTTAAAATCATAATTGACCTGTACAATATCATTTTCAATATTGTTATTTGTCTATAATAAAAGTCGTTATGTAAGGTAATTAAGATATACGATAGAGCGTCACACAACACATTTAATTAACAACTATTTGAAATATAATGAAACATATCAAAATATTCAATAAAACTGAACAAAGATGCTAGGCGTACAATTGTGTACGCCAGACGCACGTTTCGTCTATAAAAGACTCATTAGTGACGCTTGAATCTAAAAAGTTAAAAGGCCAAATAAAGATGGAAGAGCGGGGGACAAAATTTCAAAAAGGTTTTGACAGTTTCATTTTTTCTTTACTTTTGCAATCAGTAAGCATGCATAATTATAATGAAGAAAAACGTAAAACATTGTATATTCTATGTTATAAGAAACTTGAGATCGGCAATAAATATATTTTTTTAGGGAAACAATATATCGGATGTTACGTTGACCAGTTAACACCGAGAACATTGCCAGACGGGTATCTAAAGGGAGAAGGAGGTATGACCAACAATGTATGCCTAGATTATCGTTGTTCCTCTCTAAAAACCACTACATTCATGGGAACTGAGGTAAGCAAAGAGACATTTCATGGATATTGTAGTTTTATCAGTTTTTTAAAAGTACAACATAGAAGAGGAATAAAAAAATCAGATATTACAATACAACATAAAAGAGGGATAAAAACAACA